TACTGATTTGCCAGAAGTAGGCACCCAAACGTTGGTTAGATTGAATTCTATAAAAATATTTTGCTACAAAACTGTGTAAACGTTGCAGAGCATCAGCAACACATTAACATAAAATGATATATAATGTGTGTTTGTAATTATGGGAGAGATCATAAATCTTAAACATCCATTGGTTTAGAAATTAAATAGTTCTTAGTTCTCCCTAAATTACTCCAAATTTCTGAAATTTAGCATTCATCTGGGTTTTCTGTAACTACCCCCAAGGATAAATTTTTTTAATGACTTTGCTTTCAAAAATGCAATTAACTTAATAAAATTCTAATGCAAAACCGCCATCAGGTCTTTAAAATTTCAGCCCACTTTCCATCGCCAATAAGTCTATGGATGGATACGTACCATTTCAGCTAGTTGCCTTTGCCTTACCAAATTTTTTTTCTGGGTCTTTCTAGATTTTAATTGTTCTTACAGCTTTATTGCCATGATATTTTAACTTTTAATAAGTCTTAATTTCATTCTTCTTGCTGCATTTACATTACCTAGAGTTGTTATTACATTTTTTAAAAAGTAGTACGGTATTGGATTCTTTAGGTAATAAGAAGTTTCAACATTACACCCACACCTCTCATACAGGTAAATGGCACAAGGGCTGTAATACATTTCCATTTAAAATCCTGACAGTTGAATGGTTTAAATTTCAGATTGCAGTTAGAATTCTCATCAACTTTGGATTTGCCAATGATATTATATTATCTCTATCATATATCCTAAAATTCTCTACTTTTTTTCCCAATGTTAAAGATTTTTTCCCCTTCCTTGTGGGGTATCTATATTTTCAAAGAGTTGATTTAAATTGTTAATACATAACTACAGAATCTATAAGTTACAATCATTTTTTATCTCTAGTTTAACCTAGTTATAGGAAAAAATTCATATAAGCGTTACGTGTTTGTAGTTCCCATTGGCTAAACAGAGTATGCAATATACAACAATGTATTAATACGAAAAGCTTTGCCTTTTGAGGGCAATGATTCATCTTAAAGAACCAGACACCATAGAAAGAAAAAGGTGTTTGCAAAGTTTTATTTTAAAGGATCAAAAATAAATATTGCACATACACATGAGAAAATCTACTGATATTTTCATCCTCCAGTGCACACTTTCAGTACATGGCACCTTCATCTTCTTTATTTAGAAAATAAACTGTTATTGGTCCATAACTGGTGTGCACAGTCTCTGTGACTCTAGCAAATAACCAGGAGCCAAGTCCATATAATAAAGTTGGAATACCTAGAAAACAAATGAATATGTTACTTGTGAAATCAATACCTATTAATCATGTACTCATATATTTGTCATGGTATAAATCACATAGCACTCTTCAGCAACATCAAGAAATTATAAAGTTACAAAAATATGAGTAAACACTGACTCAACCTAGGAGGTCAATTTCATCTATGTTTGTGGAACATAGTAACAATTGTGTAAGCCTAGAGATTTTAAAAACTATAGATGAAGCTGATGTAAACTGTAATTCAAAGTACTTTACAAACATTAATTCATTACCTCCAAATAATTATGAAGTAATTCTATATTCTTTTCACAAATAAGCAAACAGAGAAGTGTCATTAATTTAGTTGTACACGCTCCTGATGATTGGCCTTGAGCTTAAATTACTAGGTCATCTTCATTGTGCTTTTAAGTTGGACAGTAATACCGATGGCTAAAATAATTTCTTGTACAACTTAAAAGAAACTGGGTCAAAAAGCTGTCTTCAAAATCTAAGGCAAAACCTAACTCTAAGGAAGATTTTAGTATAATAACAAACATGAGAAACAATCCCATTAATATTTTTACAACTGATTTGAAAATCTTGCTTCAACCTGTTTGAAATAGGTATATAGTAGACTGCAATAACATATTTCTTCTTTGGAATATTTCCATTTGCGATTACTTGCCATTTGTGATACATGAAACTAAATATATACTAGCCAGAGATATGGATTAAGCACTCATATGCACATGACACTAAGCTGGACACAAAGCAAACTTTCACAATTCCTATTTTTTGTAAGACACTTATTTAAAATCCATGACTATTATTAACATATTAAAAAACATATGTATAAAACCACAGGCACATCAATCAATAACAAATATTGTATAGTCTGCACAAATATTATTGTTCCTGAGTATGAGCTGGACAGAAAATAACAATTTTAAAGGAGAGCTGTACAACTGGAAAATCACTTTCTTTCTAGATAAGAGGGAAATCAACACATGCTCAGGACTAATCATATTGTTAAATTTTTTTCTTATTTTTCTGCAAGAGTATATTTGCTGTTATGTTCTTTTTGAGTGTATAAGTTCATTGGACTACTTTGTGCTTATTCCCTGAAGCTGCATTCCAGCCACTGTGATGCCAGAGATTAATCAGGAGAAGCATCACTAGTTGGCAATGAGAGAGGCAAAAATGCCCATTCAGACTGGCGCCTCTCTATTTTTAGGAATATACTGGGTCACAGCTTGTTACTATCACAGGGTTCCCTGGAATTCCTATGAAACTTTTCACAGTATATTGCCTTCTTTGCCTTGGTAATACCTCCCCCCAAATCTCTAAATGCCTCAAGGGAACGTCACAAAAAATTCACAAAAACTAGCATCATAAAGCTATTTATAAATCATTCAACCAAAAGGAAAAAAAAAGGCAAGTAGGGCTTCCCTGGTGGCACAGTGGTTGAGAGTCTGCCTGCCGATGCAGGGGACACGGGTTCGTGTCCGGGTCTGGGAAGATTCCACATGCCGCGGAGCGGCTGGGCCCGTGAGCCATGGCCATTGAGTCTGTGCGTCCGGAGCCTGTGCTCCGCAACTGGAGAGGCCACAGCAGTGAGAGGCCCGCATACTGCAAAAAAAAAAAAAAAAAAAAAGGCAAGTAGTGGTGTGGAGTGGGGGAGTGGACAAGAGAACAAGAACAGCGCAGGCAGAAAGTGAGTGAAGAGTAGAGGGAGCAGCTGAAATAAAAAATAAATTTAAAATATGGTATCACAACTTCAAAAGCTGAAAATGGAGTGAGAAAGAAAAACAGGCTCTAGGAATAATTATTAATTTTCCAAATATACTGATAGTAAAATACATAAAATATGACTTTTAAACCAATGCTAAGGACTTACAGTTAAGAAATGGATGGTGACACTGTAAGTTTTGTTTTACAGTATTTATCACAGTTTTCAGTTAAAATACTGATACTTTAAAAAAAAATCACACAAATGGTCAATACTTTTTCAGCTAAAATGGAGGACTTATCAAGGATTACTAACTTAATAACTACATTACCTCTTATTAAGAAACAACTAGGAACCATTATCATTCATGCTATTTGATAGGGGGTGGAGATGTAATGTAGGAGTCAGAAATTCTCTAATTTTTGGTTTTATCCTGCAGTCTACTTATTTAATGCAGTCAGGCTAATACACTAAATGGGAAGATTAGCCACATATATAATTTACACACTAAAAAAACCCATAATTTTCTTTACAGCACAAATGCTGTAAAGTCTTTGTTTGATGAAAAATTAAATTTTTTCCAGACTGTCTGAAACATATCATAACATCAAAATGAATGTGCAAGTCAGTTCTTTGCACAATAATTCATTTTGAGTCAGCTGAACAGTAGGTAAACCACTGTCAAATTATGCACTTTAAAAAAATTAGAACTTTGTAGCAAGTCTCCAATTACCCATTCATTCCAATGGTAAACTGCTTTTCTTAAATCTCAATCTACTTCCCAGCAGGATACCCAGACTGGTAAACCATCAGTAAAACGTCAGCTTCCATTGAAAGGAAGGCAGAAGAGAAAGGGAACAAATGGGTAAAAGAGAAATCTTTATTATTTACAAAATGGAAAAATGAACTACTTTGATAATTACTAATTTGAAAGGGAAGAAGAAGAATAAAATTCTAAGTATTTTAAAATAGAATATGTACTTGATGATCCAGAGGGGCAACTGCACAACACAGAATAGGAAAAAAATCCTATTATCTAATTCCCTACCCTAAGACAAAAATACAATATTAACATTATCAAATTGGTGAATACTCTTAAAATAAAAAGTCCAGAAAAAAATAACTCCCTTTATTAGTATAAGCTAATTTGTATTCAAGCATGCTTGTGCAGAAAGTTTTCCTTTTTGTTTAACTTAAAACTCTTATTCTCTTTTAAACAGAATTTTTAGAGTTTTCAAAAGACCATTAAATCACTATTCAGCTTTCTCTTTCACATTAAAAAAAAACTACAGCTGCTGTTTCTTTCTTCAAAAGGTTTTACTACTTTTCTGTGTGAGAATGCTCTGGGCATCCTATTTTTCTTTGGATTTCTTTCTACCTAAAAAGAGAAGCCCCTAATCATTAAGCTGTTCTTAAGGTGTTAGGTTTTATATGGTGAAAACTTTTTTTAAAAAAGGCATTGGGCTCATGGTTTACCTATAACCCTCCAGTTATGCTTTTCCTAACCTATTACTCTACATTTGGGAAGAATGATTATTTTTTTGATTCTAAAAATGCTAAAATAAACATATTCTTCTTGAATCTAGTCATCACTCCAGTCTCTCCAAATAACTTTGAATTGAATTTTCTGAGTCACTACACTCCTCAACTTCTTTGCATCAACCTCAAAATTAGTAGGCATGCTCTATATAGTTCATCAGCCAAATAATAAGACATATTTTTTAAAGGATTACACATTGCTGAATAATCTTCTCCTTAATGGACTGAACCCAAGACAGTCCCAGTGGAGCAATGGCTCCAAAATCCCATGACTGCCATACAGGAGTTATAAGCAAAAATACACCTACCATATTTAAATTTAAGAAACTATTAGACTATATAGTAATAGTGCAACTGCATAGGCGTTTAGCTTTAATTCTGATTCAAAAAACTGGTTGGGTAACGTGGGTCAGCTTGTACATCTAGATTCTGAATTACTGAAATATGGATTAATTTGATATCAGCTATATTAATAGGTTCCAAACATCCTGAGGCCTATTTTTCACTGACCTAGAAAATATAAAAGATGCACTCATGTCAACGTTCACGCCTCTTCGGTCATTAACCAAAAGATAATAAACATCCAGCAAGAGTTAACACTCTCAGAATATTCCATGAAAACATACCAATATTAAAGAGGTAGTCTTTTAAATATCTTTTAGGCCTAGCATCTGAAAAAGCTAACATCACTGGTGAAAATCTTTAGTGCTTTTAGTAAAACAAATTTGCTGGGGTTTCATATAAAGAGAACAAAGAAACTTCAAAAAAGTAGTTCCAGTTTTTATAATATGAACGCACCCACAAAAGTTGTGTTCATGGGAACGAATCCTGCCATGCAATTAGGCATTTTAAAAAAACTTAAGAGCCACTTTCCAGGGGCCTACACCCTCCTTCTCACTGCCCAGTGTAGGGGTCCTTCTAGTTAAGAGCTGCAGGGTAGTGAGGATGGAGTGCTCTCTCCCCGGGGTGATGCAGGGTGGTCCCTAAGTACAGGCATGTCGATAAGCCCCACTTTCCGGGGGACGATTCAGGAGCAACAGCTTAGCCCTGACAAGCACCTGCCGGGCGGGGGAATACAGAAGCCCAGGGCCAGGGCCGGGGCTGGAAGGCTGCAGAGTGGGTGGGACGCACAGGCAGCGTCTGGGTAACGCCCCAGCACTGGGCGAAGCGTGGCGAGCGCGTGCGCCCGGGCGAGCCTGCGCGAGGCCGGGGCAGGGCTCCCGGGGCAGGGCTCCCGGGGCAGGGCTCCCGGGGCAGGGTTCCCGGGGCCGGCGCAGTCTTAGGACCGGGGGCTCGGCCTTGGAGCCAGAGCGTTTGTCAGCGTGCTTTGCAAACAGTGGGGCCATCGTCGGCGCGACGTGCTTCACCGGCCCGGGCCACTCACCGAGGTTGATAACCTTGAGCGCCGTGAAGAACCGGTCCTGCCGGGCCAGGTCGTGCCAGGGGGCCTTGGAGCAGTGGTACTTGATGAAGGGGAAGCAGCCGGTGCGCAGGACGTGGTAGTTGGCGCCCTGCACGGGCCAGTTGAAGTGCGAGAGGCCGAACTGGTCGTTGCGGACGGCGCTGTAGGGCACGCAGAAGGAGGTCCAGTGCGGCAAGCGCCGCTGCACCAGGTGGCGCGTCAGCACCTCCGAGGCGCGGGGCTTCGGGCGGGAGGCGGCGCCCAAGGCCCAGGGCCGGCACAGCAGCAGCCAGAGCACGGCCTCATGGGCCCTCCGCAGGGGCTCCATAACCGGCTTTGCCCGTGTCCTCCGGCCCCTGGCCGCCGTCGGGGCGCGCGCCGCTGGGGGCGGGGCTGAAGGAGCGCGCGCGCGCTCGCTCGCTCCCCGGGCGTGCGGCGGGGACGCCCAATGGGCGCCGCGCGAGTGTGCGAGAACCCCCGCCCCCGGGCGCGGCGGCGCGTGCGCACAAAGGTCCCGCGGCTTCCTAGGGAGAGTGGAGCGGGGCGCGGACGGGCAGTCGGAGTCACTCTCGCTGAGGAGGTAGTGAAAACGTGACCGAGGACCTCGTGAACTCGTTAATAACTCTGAGGAGGGTTGAGGGCGGGCTTCGCGAGTATTATCAGTTTAGGTATGAGGAAAATTAAGCTTTAAAACAATTAAATAACTTAACTACCCTACTGAGTGGCAAAACTCACACCCGTATCTCTCTTCCAAGCCCCAGGCTCAAGTGCAATCCTTGGTTGGTGGTGTTGAGGAAACCCTTGAGGTGTCCTCAGGGAAGCGAGTTAAAAGTCAAGTCCCCAGATTTGCAGTGGCTGATAAAGTCGGGGAGCACTTTTGTATTCAGATCCCCGCTGTCATGTTGTTTAAAATAAGTCCCAGATATTTCAACAGAAAAAGTTTATTTCTTAGAAAGTCCTACGTATCTCCGTGCAGTGTGCACCACCACCTCCCTCCTAAGAGTCTGGTGAACGCCAGACCAGGAGTCTTTTAGTTTTAAACCTTAATAATCCTGTCACTCATTTTCAAATCTCGTACTTTAGGAAAACCTTTTCTCAAATTTTGCAGCCTCTTGAGGTAATAACGTACATACATTTGCTTTCTAAAGAAGCATTTCCTCTTGTCCTAAATTCATGTTTGGAGAAATGATAAATAAGATGTGTTTGGAAAGTACTGTATGTAAGTGAGACACGTGTAAACACCATATAACAGTTGCTATTATTGTTGTTGAAGACTCATGCAGGATATGAGTAGGATAGTGTAGGAGAATGTAGGATAGTGTAGCTAGCTCTTACATTCTCCAGTTTTTATTGATTCCTGCAACAAGCAATGATTGAGCACCCATAACCATGTGCCAAATCTTGTAGGGTTAAGTCATTTCAGGGGCCTTGTAGTCATGCAAATAATTTAAACCTTATAGGATTCCCTATTAAATTTTGAAAGATTTTAGGGGGAAGCACGATGTAGTTAGATTTGTGCAGAAATGGCTGAAGGGAGGCTAAGACAAGAGTCAGGGAGGTGATTCAATACTGTGATTTCAAATTAAATTTTCAAAAGCACTGGAGTCCTTTTTCAAACAAAATCTGTCATAGAACCCCAACCTATGAAAACTTGTGTTTTATTACTAAACATTTATAAGTGCAAAATTTTAACATTAAAGTTAAGTTTTTAAAAGGCTAGTTTGTTGTTGTCTTGGGTTTTTATTTTGCTTGTTTTGTTTTTAGCAGAAAAGGAATTTATTGGAAGGAAATTGGATAGCTAAAATAATAAATAGGACGTCTGCAGAACCAAGCTTAGCAATGGGAAGGAATCAAGAGAGACTGGCCGGCAAAGACGTAGGTAAGACCAACAGGAATTAGTATGGTCGGGATGCCGTGGCTGGCCCCATGCCACTGGACTCTTGACCCTGCTGGATTTTTTTGTTTGCTTGGTTTGGTTTTCCTTTAATCTTTTTTTTTCTTAATTTTTTGGCTGCGTCAGGTCTTAGTTGCAGCACGCGAGATCTTTTTGTTGCGACACGTGGGCTTCTCTCTAGTTATGGCCATGTGGGTTTTCTCTTTCTAGTTGAGGCGCGTGGGCTCCAGAGCGTAGGGGCTCTGTACTTTGCGGCCCGTGGGCTCTCTCATTGAGGCATGCGAGCTCAGTAGTTGTGGCGTGCGGTATTAGTTGCCCCTGCAGCATGTGGGATCTTAGTTCCCCGATCAGGGATCAAACCCATGTCCCTTGCATTGGAAGATGGATTCATTACCACTGGACCACCAGGGAAGTCCCGATCCTGCTGTTTCACGCTCAAAAATTTTTGAAGTTGGGGGCTATTGACAACAGTTGCTGCTATAGCAGACTCGGGACAGTTTATTTCTTATTCCTTTGTTTTGGTTGCATACTATCAAGAAAATCCTGATCCCTTTGGAGAAGTGGATACAGATAAGAGTGGTTTTTAAATGATTCATCTTGAAATCTTGGGCATGTGCTTCAGTTAGAGATGGCAGGAGGAGATTAATTCTGAGATTTACACTGAAATGACTTAACCTCAAATTAATGCATGGGCAGTTTGCAATATGTTTAAAAAAATTAACATTATCTCTCCTTTGGCGATATAAAAATCTATTTTTAAAAAAATGAAATTTGAATCAAACATGTGGGCAACCTCTGAATTCTGTCTGAGAAGCCCTAGGTTCTGTAGCATATAATGTAAAACTACTGATAAAGAGAGCCAGATATTTACATAGGTTTCACTGCGTTGTCTCATGAAGGCTTGGGAAAAGGCTGAAGGATTTCTGTTGGAAGACCCTGTCTTGGAAAAACCTCAGCAGTGATGAGGGTTTCTCTAATCCAAGGCTCTTTGATTATCTCTCTTTTCTCTTCTAAGGTAGGAAGTTCTTCCAAAGATTTCTGATAGATGTTGGACCACACCCAGGTCTTCAAGAGTGTTTGAATGAAATATTACCCTAACCTAAAGATACAGAGCTAGAGAACATGACATCTAGATATCTCTTCTAACTTTAAGATTTTATGGTACTCCTTCCATAGTTGAAATAAAATAATTTCTCAAAAAACCTACAACTCAGATCAGATGCTTGATTTTCTTTTCAGTTCTAATTCTTCATGGTCATGAAACAAAGGGGCTTAGAAGTTGGCAGAAGCCTGAGTCAATGTTCAAAAATATTGTGTCCAGTAATTAAGAATTAAATGCATTAAATACACGAATACTTAGTTTTCCACAAAGCATGGAGAAATGGCGTATCCCTTAGAAGGAATCCCTTAAAAATAGCTATCAATAGTGCTACCATGTACAGCTTTTAACATGTGCATGGGTGTATCATGCTGCTCCTAGAAAGAGGAATTTGTTTTGGTTTTGTTTAAAGGCATCTAGGACCTTGTAGATGTTCAGAACATGTTAAAAATGAGTTCTACAAAGTTGATAGTTTGGAATATATTAAAATTAAAAATTTCTGTTCATTAAAAGGCACTATTAAGAGAGTGAAAATGTAATCCAAAGAGTGGGAGAAATATCTGTAATACATATATCTGACAAAGCATTTGGTATCTAGAACAAATGATTAAAAAAAACAATCCAGTAGAAAGGTGGACAAAATATTTGAATGGACTCTTCACAAAGGAGAACATCCAGATGTTTAATAATGTGAAAAAGTGCTTCGTTTCACTAATCATATGAGAAATGGGAATTAAAATATATATTACCTTATATATTACACACCCACTAGAGTGGCTAAAGTAGAAAAGATAGAAAGTATTAAGCGTTGGTGAGGATATGCAGCAGTCAGAACTTTTATGCATGGCTGGCAACCACTTTGGAAAATTTTTTGGCAGTTTAAATTAAAGCTGAATACATGCATACCTTATGACCCAGCCATACCACTCATAGGTATATATTTATATTAATGTGCTCAGGCTGCCCTAACAAAATACCACAGACTGCATTTAGCCAACCACAGAAATTTCTTAGAGTTCTGGGGACTGGGGTGTCCAAGATCAGGTGCCAGCCAGTTGGGTTCCTGGAGAGAGTTCTCTTCTTGGCTTGTATTTTCTTCTTGCTGTATCCTGCCATGATAGACAGAACTAGCTCTGTGTCTGACTCTTTCTTTTCTAATGAGGGCACTAGCCTTATAATGAGTCCCACCTTTAGGACTTCATTTAACCCCTATCACCTCCTCCTGCATGAGGCCCTGTCGCCAAATACAGTCACTTTGGGTATTAGGGCTTCAGCATATTCAGCCTGTTTTGAGGGGCACAAACATTCAGTCTTTAGCAATTCCCAACAGAAATTGCGTGCATATGTTTTTCAAAAGACACGTAGTAGAATATTCATAGCAGCACGACTCATATTTGTAATACTTAACCAGGAAATTACTCAAATGCCTAGCAGTAGTAGAGCAGATACACAAATTGTGGCATATTCACACAATGGAATACTACAGCAACAAGAAAGAATGCACTACAGTCACACACAACATGCGTGGATCTCACAAACATGAGGAAGAGTGGAAGAATGCAGACACTGAAGAACCTACTGTACGATTTCATTTACATAAAGTATAGAAACTGGCCTAAACTCATCTATGCTGTTAGAAGGGGGATAGCAATCACTTTTGGAGCAGAGAGGCAGTTACTAGGAGGAGTATGAGGTGACTTCTGGGGGACTGGGATTATTCTCTCTTTTTCAAAACATTCTTTTATTTCTATACTTTTTTTTTAAAGCAATTTTTTAAGAGTGGTTTTAGACTCACAGAAAATTGAGGTGACTTCTGGGGGACGGATTATTCTCTCTTTTTCAAAACATTCTTTTATTTCTATACTTTTTTTTAAAGCAATTTTTTAAGAGTGGTTTTAGACTCAGAAAATTTAAGAGGAAGGTACAGATATCTCTCATGAATCCCCTGCCCCAAACATGCATAGCCTCCCCCATTATCAGCATCCCCCACCAGAGTGGTACATTTGTTATAATTGATGAATCTATGGATTATTCTATTTCTTGATCTAGATTCTAGTTAAATGGGTGTATTCGGTTTGTAAAGTACTGAATACAGGTGATATGTGCCCTTTACTGCATGTATATTATACTTCAATAAAAAGTTTGGAAAAAACAATGAGTTCTGCAGGTAGTATTACATAATAACACATCCTATTATTCACGTTTATTAAGAAATATGTATAGAGAACATATATAGTGGACATGACCGAAACATGACCTTGTACATATATAGCATCTTTTTTCTCATGTTGTTTTGACAACCTTACTGTGAGATCCTGATTTGCTCACGTATTTC